CAAGGCTGTTCAGGCCCAGGCCCGACCCATTGCCAAACTTAAAAAGTAAGCACATGTAAATGGATAAAATGAGAGAGAGAGAGAGAGAGTCAACAACGAGTATATCATAGTTGAAATTTGGGAGAATTTTATTCATGTGTCATTGCTTTATAATGACTTCCAAAGAGTAGAGGGAGTCAATGGACAACAAAATAATTTGAGTATATATATTTTACTCTTTCATGAAAAATCAAATCGTCTCGGGCTGCAAAAGCAACCTCCCTTTTGGTTCCCATCAAACTTATCCAACAATAGATTGCAACTAAAAAGCATGATTTTGGAGCAATTGTCTAAGGTTGGAAACTTCACTAAACTATCCAATTTCAATAAATTAATAATATATCACCAAAAATAAAAGTGTCAATAAAAAATGGTCCCCCCAGTAACGCCTCCTTTTTTAAGAAAAACAACTTTCTATATATTGGTAAATAATCATTATTTTAATTTTTTTGTAGAATAAAAATTTCGGTCAGTTGAAACATTAAAATAAGAGACAGACTTATAACTAAGGGACGTTTTACGTGTGTTCTTAAAGGTGTGTGAGATAGGGATTAATACTTTAATGGCTTATGACATTTTTTTTTTTTGGGTAAATCAGTGGGGGAGAAGGCCCTCTATCCGTTTTTATTAATAATGGCTTATGATATAGGGGTTTAATACTTTAATTGCTTTAACATATATTATTATAAAGTATATTTTGAGTGTTTTATTCAGTAAAATAGATAGTGGATTAAAAGCTGTATCTTGCTGAATTAGCCAAATGGTTTCATGCGTACAAGAAACTATACTATCCATTTACTTCCTTGGGAAAAACTCAATTTAGGAGTAATTTTAAAACCCTAAATGTTGGGTATATTACCTCTCCAACCGATAGACTAAAATCAATTAACAAAAAAATAATAATCCAAGATGCATGCTCTACACAGATGAAAAAATAATCTCTCGAGATTGAATAGAGAACTCCAAATTTTGGGAGGGTAATATATAAGTATTAGAAAACTCAAAAATTTATTTTTTTTCTTTTGAAAATAATCATCTAATGATAATAAGTGATCCTTAAAATTTTATATTGAAAAAATCCTCATAAGTAAGACTTGTGATCAAGGGAGCAGGTGTACAGTATATGCTCTTATAGGAGCATGGTATACATGTTCACTAAATTAATAGTATTCGATGAGATGACGAAGAATGGTCGTGCAAAGGCGTGCAATTTTTTAGTTAGTTAACGTGATGAGGATTTTGTACTTGGAAAACGTAAAATGTTTAGACATGAAGTTGAGTTTAGGAATAAAATTTACCATTAATTTATTTCTAATCAATTACCATTCCTTCCGAAAAAGGACAAGGGCTAAGGCTAGGGCGGAGGTGGTAGCACCTCCACGTATCCATTCCCACTAACATCACCCCACTAATACTTTCAAAGAACTAACTCTTACACTATTTGAAAAAGGACACGGTTTCTATAACTCCACTTACTCATATGTAAAAATACAAGCCTCTTAGTAATCTATTTTTAAAATAAAATTTAATCCTAATTTTTAGAAAATATATAATCTTTAACATAGAGATTATTAATCTGTAAAAATAAATAAATTTTAAAATTAGAATTGGTATTTTTTGGAAAAATATTTGAACCGTTGATTTTACTTTTTATTTAGGGCACTATTATTTATGAGACCCGATTTTGGTGAACAGTGTAGATCTCCAAGTCCGCATAGTACCAAGTCCGGGTTTGAACGCACCAAACAATTTTCCTTTGAAAAAACGGATAGGGCACGTCTTCTCCACTAAATTACCTATTTTTTTTTTTTTCCACCTATATATCATTTATCCATAACCCCTCTCTCGCTCTCTCTCTCTCTAAAGGGTAAAAAGCTTATTATCATGTCAAAAGTCTAAAACGAAAATGGATGTTACTGCAAGAATAAAAGTACCTATAATGCAAAAGTTTAAGGATGAGGAAAAAGTTTATATACGGATGCAACCTTATAACATATAGAACTACGGATGCACCTCAAAAATCCATCGGAAAAGGTAGTTTTAATGTTGAAAAACTTTTTGATTGATCATCTCGACATCGAGATGTATGACCATGAAAAATAAAAAGATTTTAAGTCTCATAAATAGTACGTTTTACAACATATTATCTACACCGTCCATTTTCAGGATTTTCATATGTTTATAGATTTACTTGATTTTAACCATTTTTGAAATTTAAAATTTTATAATTAGATGTAAAAGTTTTGAGATAATCCTAATAACATTTTACATCAAAATTAAATACCATGATAAAGTTTGAAGGTGCACCTTACCTCTACAGTTACATATGCATCCGTATGCGAACTGCACCCAAAGGATAATGTAATTCTATATTATATACTATGATGTACTAAGTTTCTTAGCAATAATATTCTTGCATCTCAAATGATTTGATTCCAACCGTTGAAAGAAAAAGTATTTTATCCCCTAAATAAAGAGATTCCTCGTATCTATACAAAGATGTACCTACCATTTTGAGAATTGAATGAAGAATCGAGTTAATAATGTGTCCATGAATATACTAAGATTCTCTTGGAGCCCTTTTTCTTACTTTTATTTATAAATAAAAGTAAGAAATGAGATTTTCTAAACTTTTGAGAAGTTCTAAATTTTGATTATATAAATTAAAAATGATTGTTTCTTATTGTAATTTCATAATAAATACTTGTACTAATTAAGAATATTTCCTATTTATTTAAAATAAGAGTTTAGTAAAATTCTTTGGTCATGGAGTCCTAATAAATAAGGTTTTGTGCATATATAGGAGAACGACAAAATTCCTTTTTACTGTTTATTTGCAATTAAGAAGTAAAATGATGACCTTTCTTAACTTTTTCAAAATTTTAGTTACATTTTGAATGATAAGAAATTAATTACTTATGGAGAATTCTAATATTAGGTTTCCATCCAAACAAAATTAAATTAAGAATTCTTATTTATTTATTTGCAAACGAAATTACACATTCTTTACTTTTTAAATTCCTAATTATGAAATTTATCATTAAAAGTGTAATGATTTAAAGGATTTAAATTTCAGTTTTTAATGTTGAAAATTCCTTCTGTTAATTTATTATGCTTCTGTCCTAATAGTGGAATTTTTACCCATATTACTATGTAATAATAAGAATAATATAATTTCTCAATTTTTAATATTTCCAAATGTGTAATAAAAAATAACACTTTCATAACTGTTTAAACCTTTAAATTGTTAATTATTGATTTCAACTGATAGAAAATTTTAACTATTTAAAAATTAAGCGATTCAAAAAATTACTTACCACACTTAGTGGTGTTCTAATATAATAAAAAAATTCACATACAATATGGAAATGAACATTCAAAATTGATAATTTTATTTTTAATTGCTTTTTTGTTTAAAACATATATCTTAATTCAAAATGAGAGAGGTCTAAAAATATATTACTAATTTGATTGGATCCTAGGACTAGCATAAAATCAAACCAAATAGAGATCATTATTATTATTTTATGATTTTTTCATTAAAAAAAAGTCTAGAGAAGCAAGGTAGATGCCCAATTGGAAGTTCGTAGATCGGGATATTGTTATTATTATTATTATTTTGACAAGAAGGATCCTTATCATTTGATAAAAATAGGCACGAATAAATTCTATCAAGATATTGGAGTGCATCATAATCTTTTTTGAATCTAAGCTGGAGAGATTCTCAAATCTTTGAAATAAAGGGGCACGATTCACCTAAAAATTTACAAACATGATATGCTTTTTAACGTCATGAATTGTTTGCAATATTTTTGGAAATCAAGAAAAAGAAAGAAAAGGAAGAGAGAGAGAGAGGACAAGATGAAAGGCATCATATTTAGCAATATACAAGGGAAACATCCTGGAGAGAGAAAATAATTGGGAAGATATTAGTAGAGAGAGAGAGAGGGGGAATAATTTTAGAAATATTTAGAAAGATATAGAGAGAGTGCATGCCAATATAAAGACTGCAATTATTTGTAAATGGTAATGATCAAAGGAAACTAAGTACAAGGAAGCGGACAAAGAAAATATGGAGTAATAATTTCTCAAGATTGTGTATGAGAGAGACAGGAGTTAACCGCGATATTTTACTTGATAGGGAGTATATTATGCTCCCGCGGGATCATTTGTACTCCCTCTTCCAAACATCTGAAAAGAAAAACGTTTTTTAATCTAAAATTTTGGGATTATTTTCAAAATAAAAAATTCAAAATTTTGAGTTTTGTGACTTTTAGATCTTGCCCTTCAAAAAAATTAGATCATATCTATTTAATTTAGAATTAGAATCATTAGGTTTTCTATAGTAAATCGGGAAATTACATCCCAAAAGATATTAGTGGCAGATATTTTAGTGGAGGGAGTAAATGAATAGTATACTCCTCCAGGACTGAGAAATCTGCAAAGGCCGCCCAAAATTAGAGAATGTCGTTGCATGGGGGGCGTAGGAAAACGCCGATGGGTCGGCACAAACCTCTCTTTGTCTCTCTCTCTCTCTCTCTCTCTACCACCGCATTTTCTCTCTCTAAAAGTGGGCATCTGTTTCTCTCTCTACTCGTGGTGCCCAAAACACTAAAAAAGGAGAAGGGGGGGACCACGCCACCTCCGACAAAAGAGAGAGACGTCCCTCCCCAAGTATAAAAACGTGCGTCCCCACGCTTAGCCCCACGCCCCTTCCGCCTCCGCTCGGCCGCCGCTTCGATCCCTCTCTCTCTCTCTCTAACTTATTCGTCTCTCTTTCTCTCTCTAAGTTCCAGGAGTTTCTAACAATGTGGTGGGCGGGTCCTCTCTCTGCATACACCCTGCTTCTCTCTCTCTATGTAAATCTCTGTAAACGCAGAGTATAGACGAGTTGTGTTTCTCTCTCTACACCACTTTGGTTTGGGAATTCTTCTGTAGGGGCGACTGTTTCTGTTTTAGCCATGGATTGCTGGCTCTACTCTCGCAATGTCGACGACGAGTATGAGAAACTGGTCATTCGAATGAACCCACCCAGGTCTCTCTCTTCCTTCTCTCTCTTATTTACTGAGCTTTTTCATTAATGATTTTGGTGTTTGGGGAGTGATTGAAACGTTCCTTTAATGGATTTTAAGTTTCCAGTTCAGTACTCATTACCCATTTTTGTCTTGCTCTTTCTTCTCTCTTCTTATTTTGCCCTTTCCCAATTCGTCCTCCTCCTCTTCTTCTACTTCTTCTTCCTCTCTCTCTCTCTGTTTTGTGGTTCTCGAAGACTCAGAATATCTCTGTTCTGCAATTCTCAAAGCCTCCAAATATTACGAATATTTATCTTGAGATTTCCTTCTCATTTCTCAAAAGAATTTGATCTTGTAAATTTAATACTGAAAAAAAATGATCTTGTAAATTTGCAATTCATATCGAATATAAAATATTTTATAAACTAATTATGGGATTGGCAATGGCAGGGTCACTGTGGATAACACTTCTTGTCCAAATGCTACTTTAGTGAAGGTACTCTCATTAATTATTTCTGTGTTTCTGATATTTTGTTTGTTTTTTTTTTTAATGTTTTTTTTTCCCATTCCTAATCTTATAATTTCCCTCTAATTTCATTTGAACCTGGAGATTATCTCCTCTCTAAGTTCATCTCTTCGCTCTCTTTGTTTCTCTCTCTATAATACAGGTTGACAGTGCTAATATGCACGGAGTTCTTCTAGAGGTTGTCCAAGTTTTGACAGATTTAAATATCAGATTTAACAGAGCTTACATCTCTTCAGATGGTGGATGGTTCATGGATGGTTGGTTCTAACTTCTAACCCTGTTTTTTTTTCTTTTTTTTGAAAATTGATTTCTCACTCTGTTCTCCTTCATTCAATTTTTTTATTTTTCTCCTCCCTTTTATCCTCATTTATTTTTTTTGTTTTCAGTATTCCATGTCACAGATCGTTATGGAAACAAGCTATGTGATGAAGAAGTCATCAATAAAATTCAACAGGTAAGTTCAAACCTTTTATGGTTGTGGCTTAAGTAAGTACATTTGTGGTTTAAGTACATTTGAAGTTTTCAGTCTGAAAATTATAGTACATTTTCAGAGCTTTTTTCAGTTTAAGTTTGGAATACCTGATAAAGTGCTTTGCCAGAAGATGGAATGATAACCGTTGTCAAACAGTATTTAAAGTGAAGAAATTGCCCAAACTTTTGCTCCTGTGTGTGTCTGTGTGCATCAGAGGGAGAGAAGCACCCACGGGGAGGTCCCCTGGGCAGGCGCGGGATGGAAGGGGGGGGCTTGGGCATGTCCACCACTCTGTTAGAACAGAGAGAGAGAGAGAGAGAGAGAGAGAGAGAGAGAGGAAGTAATAGTAGTAGATGTGTAGAGAGAGTACGTCTACTTACTTACGTTAGTAACGAAGAGAGAGAGAGATATATGTTCGTTCGTACTACTTAACTTAACTTAAACTTAA